AAATGGGGGTGCAAAGGGAGTGGTGGTTGTCACTCATCATGGTAAGCTTGCTGGAGGGAGGGCCTGTGACTCTGGCCACATGGAGTGAAATGTGTGCAACTTTGTATGAGGGAACACTCCTGGGCAGCATGAGGCTGAGATTACCACAGATGTATCCCTCAGTAAATGTAATCCCACGTTCACAAATTCATTGCTGTTTACATGCATGGCAAATATGTTCTCTCAGGAGCTGGGGGGGGGCGAACTCCATGCTTACTGATAAAGAAGTACAAAACAGTGTTGGCACAATGATTTCTGAATCTATCTGGCACTCCTATCACGCACTGTTATAATAAGATAACAGGAGATAGTAATTTTGCACTTGATGGAAAAACATATTGAAGAGCTTAATGAAATTTCATCATGCACTTTTAATTGATTTCAGCAAGGGAGACCTTTACAAAGCAAATATAGCTATTAATCTAATTAGTGTTTCAGATAATATACTGAAATTATATTTCTATATCAATATATCAGACAAATATTTGTACGAGATAGGCATTTCAATGACTACACAGCTGAAATGAACAAATTAATTTCTTCTTTTATAAGGACCTTGTTTCCTGCAGGTGTACTTTGCAGTTCATTTTCCACTTTGGATGCTTAAATTAGGCTTGTTAAGTCCACAGTTAGTCTGAAATAATTGGCTTTTCATTTTTTCCCCAAGTGATCTGTGCAGTGGGAGAACTGAACAATATTGCTTGTTGACTCTACAGCCTGGTTTTCATGAGGGCTGTGCTAATGAGTCTGTGTCACTGGGTCAATGCAGAGTATGGCAAGAGCCTTTTGGAATGGGGCATTGGCTGGTATCACAGTATCCTTTCTGGAAAAGATGAAGCTTCTGGAAAAGAGTGCACAGCATGACATGCTCTGTTACCCTGTTCTTCTGACTGTCTGGCATGTGAATCAAATATTTTCTTCTTTGAAGCAACCATGATGGTGTTAGGCAGTAGGTATCATTCCTAGATAGGGCCAGGATGACGCTGAGACCTGGATGATCAAAAGGATTCCAGGGTTTGCTGCTTTGGCCACAGTATCTGTTTCTGTCAATCTCAACTGCTGCTGGACAGCTTTCAGTGGACACAAATACAAGGAAAAATAATCACACATAGTCAAACACAGTCCTCGCTTGGTGGTTGTGTTGACCTCTGTGGTGTGTACTAAGAGCTTCACTGAGACTGGAATGAGTTTGGTTCCATGCCCATTCAAATCTGTGGCAAAGCTTTCAGTGCAGTGCAGGATCAGGCACAGAATCACCCTGAGTGCAATTCAGACCTTTGGTGTCTGGTGTTTCACAGCCCACATAGTAATTAAGGACAGTTAGACTCTTCAGAATCAGATCCAAAACAGACAGCAGGCTTAAGATGTGCCAGGTACCAGCTAAAAAAGGTACTGAAGACAAAAATATGTCTGAAATCTTATCAGTGTCTTGGTCTAGGCACGAAACACAATATTCCGATTAAACATGACTCCCTGCACCCAATTGATATCCTGAAGAAATGGGTCTGGAGACCTGAAGTCTCTCTTGCTGATGGGTATCCACAGTTTTGGTCCAAACTTGCTGAACAAGACTCACTGCTCTCTCTTATACAGCTCTTTCAGTCAAATTTTTCACACCACAGTGGCCTGAGCTCATCTAAGATCTGTCAGCACCAAGTCCAGTTTCCCACTTTGAGATGTTCTTACCGTTGTCTCCCATCTACAAGGGAAATGTGGGAATGTTCTCCACTGCTCCTGCAAAAACTATTCCACTAGTCAGGCAATAATTCATTGGAGTCATTGAAGCCATGTAGTGAAGGCTGTCTATGTAGCCTCAAAGTTAGGGAACTCATACAAGGAGGAATCTAGGATTTTGATCCCTGATTCTAGGACTGTTCATGTGTTTTATTGCTTAATGTAAAGCTTGGGAGCAAAGGCCAGATCTCAGGGCTCTCCTTCTTAGGAAAGTTAATTTCTTCCAAGTCCCACCTTTGATACCCAAATCCCTTATCAGAGCTCTAACAATTTTGGAGTTCAAATATTTTTCACAAGGCTGTGGATCTTCCCTGTACCTCTGCCAGGTGTACCCCTGGAAATGAATGGGTTCTATCTTTAGACAGAAAGACTACCTAAATTTTTCTACATAAACTCAAACTTTATTTTGAATCTTTCTTTGAGTTTTGTATGAAGTCATTCTACCTCAGAGGGCATTAACTGTTTTGTTGAACTTTAGTGTAGTTATGGCAGTTCTCATGGGTCCTCCATTATGACTCACAGTATCATGTTCTTTCTTTTGTGTCTAGTAAGGAGTTGGCAAGTTCTCCTCAGCTGCAGCATAAAGAAACCTTTAATGCTCTACTTAAGCTGGGCAGAATTTAAGATCCACAACTGCTCGTAACTGAGGTTACTGCCATCACAAAATACACTGGATGGGACTGTGTAAAGGGGAGTACCTGATCACAGTGTTGGATAGAAAGCGGAATGAAAGTAAATGAATAAAAGGGATGAAAAGACAAATGTAAAGTGAACATATCTGTACAGGAGCCTAAAAGAAACAAGCCATGCTGGGACTTCTATTTCTTTTTCATTGTGATAGCTGATTTGTTATTTCTGCTGAGAAAGGTTAGAGACACAATTTTCAGGAGTGATGAAAAAACAGGAACTTCTCTGTGTAATGAGGGTCTTGCTGTGGTGTTACAGGTAGCAGTTGCTTGAATTATCAATATCATAAGTCTTTGCACTGGTCTATGTTATAGAAAAGAGAGATCACAAGAAAGAAAATGTACATTAGCCAACTGGTTTTGTGATAAGTTCTGACACCATAGAATGCTTTTTATTTTTAGCAATGTCAAATTACATTTATCTGTAGGTTTTCTTGCTGCCCTCATTTCAGCATGTGGTAATATCAGTAGCAGCTTTCACTCACTGTGTGGTAGAGATGCAGTTCTGAAGTCATAGATGCTTTGAAGACTCTGTATTTTGTTTCTTGAGAAAAACATCTCTGCAGTTGGAGAAAAGGGATGGAAATATTTTTCTGGTCTTATATTTTGCTGGTTTCATAAAAGCCTACATTTTGACTTGAGGATATGGACCTTTAAATGAAGTAAACTACTGCCATTATTAAAAACACCTTCCTGGAAAGAATTCAGAGATGTTCAAGACTATTCTTTTTTTTTCCCCTGGCACTGTATTCTAATTAAATCTCAACCATTTCTTGTGTAATGTTTTTAAGGTCACTAGCTTGGCTGGGTATTTGGTAATAAAAATTACACCCCATGTCTGCAATAGGACCACTAATTTAAAATAGCCATTTGATTCAAACTGACCTGTTTGCCAGCATAACTAATGAAGTGTCACTTTAATATTTAAAGTGCTGTTCTTTCAAGGTAATTGCTATTTACTGGTAATTCTTCTTCATTTGATGGTTTATTAGGTACCTATAGGAATTTAAATTGGGCAACTGAAAAACTGTAATTGTCTAACTAGTGTAATTCTTTGCTATAAATAAGTCTGGGCACCTGTTTAAGGAAGGTCTTCTGTTTCTGTTTTTAAGGAAGTTTTTTGTTTCTGTTTTTTTACACCATGAAAGAATGGGGAAGGCTGATTTGGGAAAGAGATTTTACGTATTAATAAGATATTAGGAAAGAGCCAGCAGAAGGTGCTGACATCCAAAGGAATGCAGGGACTTGTTTTGGCTAATTCTGCACCCACCCACATGGGCGTCAACATTCCACTCAAACATGGCAGGACTTTGCCACTCCTTGTGGCAGGGGGCATAGATTTGGGGGTGGAGGAAGAGGGAGAACACCCAGGAAAGAGTTGGTCTTAAAAGTAATGGTAGAAAAGGCATAAAACCAGCATTCTCTTAGAAAAGAAAAATTGTAGTTGGAAAGAAAATGTAGCTGGTAAAATAAATGCATCACTTACTTGTTCCTTTTCTGTTCTAGCTTGTTAGTGAATGTCTTCTTTTACCCTCAATGCATCATAATGCTTTATTCTGTCCAAAGAATATAGATATTTAAACTAACCTTCTTGCTAAAGAGATCTAAAGAGATGTGTAGTTTTGTCCTCCACAATCCGATAAATGCAAAAGCACAACAGGAAACACCTCTTTCTGAGAAACTCGTGCTTACTTTTGTTGATACTTGCCTCTTAACAAAAGAGCTTTCTGAGTGGGCATTGCAAGTTGGTCTTATTAACCTTTCCTTTCTTCCTACTTTCAACTGGTTCTTTTTGTTAAAGGTAGAACCCCCAGTTTAGTGTTCTTTAACAATTTTTAGGATTGTTTCTTTGACACATGTGTTTTGTTGTTAGCCTTTAATAGCTGTTGAACAACATTTAGATTACATGACCCTAAAAGCAAAAGTTCTTGTATCTTGCCTTCATATTTTATTGGTATAATGTGAGTGCTTCATTTATTTGTGAATTCATCATTTTTGCATCTGTAGATTGGGAGCTAAGAACCAAAGCAGCCCGTGTTTCATTAGCCTATGCAGATTTTTTTTCATAAAATGGGTATCTCAACTTCCCAATATTAGAAGATAATTTGTCTTAACTTCAAAAGAAAAAAAAAGTTGTAAGCAAATCCTACCATGGAAATTTCAGACCTGATAGCTTACATTTAGTCAATTTATAGTAGACCAAAAAGAAAGTACTTAGAATGGGAAATGTTAGGCGACCCTATCTTTTGGTAGCTTTACCAGTACATTTGTTTCTGCTAGAATTTAAAGTTCTGAAAGATAGCAATAGTGTTCCCGCCTCCACAGATACAGGGCGTTAGGCTTGATTTGTGGCTTGTCCACACTTGGGCAATGGGGATCATTGAAATGTCTGTCTGCACCTGAATTCCAGTCCAGTGGTGTATCCAGTGGGTGGTGTGAATATGCTATGTCATTTGCTCCTAGGTGCATCACCTTGTGGAGACTTGCCAGATGACTTCATCATCCCACTCAATCGTGCTACTGTATTCTATATTTTTGCAGCAAGGAGACAAGGAGACAGCACAATATCCTGGCAATCTGTGTATGCATTAATGAAGTGTCTGCCCGCACTTCTTAACGTAGGGTTAGTAACGATGATTGCTAACATAATGCACTATTTAAATGGCCTGTGCAGTCTAATGTAGCTATATGCATGCATAAACCACAAATTATTTTGTCATGGTTGCTATACTTTGTGCAAACATTTAATGAAAAGCACTGTTGCAATACATCAAATACTGACTTATATTTTTCGTAACTGAAGAATTTAATTCCTCATAGCTGTGTTACTACTGTTTTGGTCCACAAGTTTCATAAGTTAATACTGGAAGGCTTAGATATATGACAGATCCATGAAAAGCCACAGTACATTTGTGGTCAGATTCAGGAGAGGATTGAACTTGAATTCAGATTTGCTGCTTAGGCCTATTATTAATTTAGGTCCAGTACTTGAAAACTGGTTCAGAAGTGGATGTTCTTACTGAAAAGTGCTGTTCTCAAAAGTACAGAAGAAACTCCCCTGGAAAGAGTGGTAGTCACTGCCTCTGGGCGTGTGCATACGTGAACGAATATGCGTGTTTGTGTACATGTTCATGCATGTATTTGAACACACATTGCTTTTGTGTGATGGGTCTTGTGTTGATTCACAGCAAAAGCTGTATACTTTGTTTTTGTGATACAGAAGCTTTTCTGTCAGAAAGCTTCTGTACAGAAGCTAATAGTCAATGTGAAGAATTAGAAGAGATTTTCTTGGCACTATAGAACTGTTTTCTCCCCGCTTCCCCATTCTTCTACGTCAGAAAAACCCTCTTTCAGAATAAGAGGGAAACAGTGATGTGAAGTGAACTGCTGTGAAATGAGCCCATGATATCCAAAACTGTTGTGGTGGGGTTTTTTTCTCCTGTCATGGCATGAGCTCACAAATACCATTCTGAGCTCTTGCAGCATTCTTTCTTTGTAGACTTTGCTTTTTTTTTTTATGTGCAGAGTCAATGGGAAACCTTGTGAAGGCTTAAATAAATACATATATTCAAATTGAAACCAAGCTGGCTTCCAACAGTCGGAGTTCCTATTATCTCATCTTGTTTCAGTCAAAACGCTTGTATGAAGCAATCCGATTGTATCAGAGTAAACATAGTTGCATACAAATTTATAAGTACTCTACCTTGCCCGAAACAGTTCTATGCTTGAATAAGAGGCTCCCCTGCCTTGAATGGATATTGTGTCCCAGAGTACTGAGTAGGTGTCATTGCTCTCATATAGGTAGTTTTATCAGCTGTGGAAGCTACTGGGGGAAGGTGCTGAGATATATCACTTCTGTCCATCCTTGGTTGATATGATGTCCGTGTTCAGAGACAGAAAAGTTGAAGGATACTCACTAAGGTGACAAATCCTAGTATGGTGGGCTACTGGAAGATGGTTCCTGGGAGCTTATTCTTCTCGTGCTGAATAGTACAAGTGTCAGGGTTTCTCTCTTGGGAGGGAGTGAGTTCATTAAGGAAATTTGTCTTTACCTTTCCTTTTTCTCTTATAGACACTTGGAGTTTTGTACCATTTCCTAATGGCTTCCCTTTATGTAATCTCATATGTCAGAGGTCTGTGCAATCTTGTCTCATAACATGGAAGACTGGCACAGCTACATTCCTGGAACACTTAGTTTCTGGTAAGTGGCAAGCTGAGATATGGAAGACCTAGTAAACAGGAGGTTGCATGAGGGGTCTGCTATTGATCATGGAGATCAATAGTTTTCCTGATAGTAGCTCCCAAGGAAAGTTTGTGCTCTGCACTCATCCATTGCAGTCTAAATACGTGCTGGAAGGAGAGAGGACATGCTTGGCGTTTGCTGTGCATTTGGTGTTGGACATTCTCCTGCTAAGCACCTGTTGCCTTCTGCTTTCTAATTACTCTCTAGTGCTGTGCTTCTCTAGTCTCTTGCAGAGAGAATAAAAGGAGCTATTATATTGGTAAGCCATTGCTTAATTGTACTTTTCTTTCACCTAAGCACCTGGACCCTTTTTCACAGGATTTCCATGCTTTGATTTCTCACCATTCCTCACACTTGTAGGAGTCAATTGTGTGTCTCAGATGTTCGGCACATCTATGTGTCCTCTAATCCTGCACATCTCCCTCTAATCCTGCTCAGAAGACAGTACTTTTGAATGTCAGCTCCAGTTGCCCAAACTCAATATCAAATTAACTTAACTTGAAAGATTTTGAGGTTTTTTGGCTTGTACGCACAGCAGCATCTCTCAAACCTGACACAGGCAAGTTTTCATTGCAGTGCTTGCTCACAGCAGGAGCATGTGAAAAGAGTGCATTTTGAGAATGACTAAACATCAAAGTGGTTCTGAATGAGCTGTCCTGAGAAGCGTAATGCTTATCCTGGAAAATGGAAGAAGTGTTTGTGTTATATTAATGGCCAGAGGTCTCAATTCACTTTTAGTTTCCTCTCTACCACAGTTAATAGAAATAGAGATGATAAACCTTTCTTATGCAGACACAGATTTGTTGATCTCTCCCTGCTTAATTACAATAAAGAGAAGTCAGGAGTATCTGTGATCGTCATTCCTGTCTGGTTACACTCTATCATCTCTTAGAGAACTGCATTTTTGCAACTCTAGAGAGAAAAGGCTTTTTTTTTTCCCCTATGGGCTTGCCTAGGAAGATACCCATCTTTAATATGAAGCTTTGAAGCATTATTATGGTAATGTCAGGTAACTGCTCTTCAACTTAGATTGACAGCTAGCTATTAAATAAGGGTAGGGAAGAATGTGGCATCTGTGTAGTGAATGATGCATGTGGTTATTTTAAAATGTTTTTTTATAAGCAGAGACACGGCAATTGCAGGTTTTCTTTGCCTTTTTGATTTAACAGCATTTCAGAGTCTTTTGCCAAACCACAAGTAAAAGCAACATGCAGATCAAACTGCTGTCTCAAAATATTTTCCCCACCCTGATTCAAGCACAAAGGATTTAATTTTTAATCAATTGCAAAATGTGCTACTGGAAGACAGTATCTTTTCCATGTGCCCATTTGAGCCTCTGAAAAAAGGTAAAAACATATTAGTTTCTAAAGTCACTTGATTTCTGACCAGTTTTCACTAAGGTTTAAATTGGCTGGTACCTGACAGCTGTAATGGATTCGTCTTCAATAACAAGCTGAGCTCTGAATTGCTACTAGTTGGCACTGGCAGGGATACCAAGATGAGCTCACAGAGCTTCATGTGCTCCTTTTCACAGTCAAAAGGACATGTTCTGCCAACCCAAAGAAAATTACCAGCAGCAAAAATAAAATTTTCCTCCATACCTTGGGTTTTGGGGCTAGCATCTTTTTCCCATACCTGGTTAATATACTTCTTTTTTTAAATTAATTTTTTCAAGGAACAGGACTGGACAATGAAAATAGTGGCCACCTGCACACAAGATATTAAAAACAAGATACTGACAGTTGTTGTGGGACAGGCATTTCTTATGCATCTCTCCTTTGGTTCCAGAAGACTCCTGTGAAGAGCCAGCTACTGCTCGTGTATCACTTGCATAGCCTGGTGTAAGCATTCTCTAAGCAGAGGAATGTAAATTCTGTTCTCATTATTTGGCTAAGAAAATGGTGAACTCCTGAACCTTTTTCTCTTACAATTTTAACAGAACTTGACCTAAATATAAAGGTTGAAAGTTGCATTAACTTTTTCTTCCCTGTAGTTGTGGTCAAGAAAGGGAAGGTAGAAATATCAGACTGACTGCTTGTTCTTGCAGCTCATCCAGCCTGACAGGCTGGTGGGAATGCCCGTTGGTCTCCCACCCAGCTTGCTGGTTCCTTGGGGCAAAATATGAAGCGGGTCTAACATGGTGTAACTTGCATTCCAACCAGCGAGCAACTGCTTACTAAAGTACTCCTGAAGTTGTTTGTTGAGTTTTCCTTGTTTGCAGCAACTTTAACAAAGCTTGCAAAGTCTCCTTTCAACTCTGTAAGTCATACCATTTCAAGTTCCACTGCAGAGCTAAATAGGTATAAAAGCAACTTTAAGGGAGTCTCTCTTGATTTTTAGAACGGGATTTTTTAAAGCCCAGGATTATAGTTAAGTATCACTGCATATATTCACTGCTGAGTCTGGTTCAAGAGAATGGCTTGTGAGAGATCTCAGGCTCATTGCAGTCTAGACTTCTTTCCTCAGGTTTCTTTGATTTTTTGGCATTGCCCATGGATATGGCACATACTTACAGGTCCAAAGACAAGGAGTATGTTGAGAGGTTTTAAAAAGAGATAGGATCAGAGAATTGGCTTTAGGGTTTTTTTCCCCTCAGGAAGAGAAGATAAATATGACCATGATTAAAAAGCCATTTATGAAGAGGACAGTGATCAATCTTTGGCTGCATTCTCTGAGAAAAGGAGAGATTGACTTTGTTAGCAAGAAAGTTAATTGACATTGGTTGTTAGGAGAAATAGTCATCTACTGAGAGATGCTTAAGCATTGCAACAGGCTGCTTGCACAAGCAGTTGGCGCTCTCTGTCATGAGAGAATTTAAGGAGCAAGTTAGATAAACCTTTGCTTGGAATGGTCTTGGAGTACTTGTTCCTGTTTGCTGAAACTTTTTTAGTTTTCTTTTTGGTCTGGTATTCCTGTGGGCTTCAGCTTTAACCCTGTAAATTCTGAAAAGGAATCGCCAACATATGCCAATAGAAAATTACCCAAATAAATACCATTAACACAACAGGGCATTTAAAAGACCTCCCATGAATCCTCATCCTTGTATGGTGAAAAGCGTATCAATGTGTACCCACAGTGCTTAGAATGCCTCTAGAGTTTATTGGAAACTAAAGCAGCGATGGTATCTAATCTGTTAACCCTAACAGAGAATCTGTTCCTCTGCCTCAGATTGCAAACATACCATGAAGTGCTGAGATTGGCATGAGCAGAGTGCATTTTTATTTGAGGGGAACATAAATCCTAAGTATCTTGTTTGTGTATAATTATTCTTGCCCTGAGGTTGCAGCATCTTGTGCACACAGCTGCATTGTGAACATTTTTCCAAGTTTATTTAGCACTGAGTGCAAGTACTTTACATGTCAGAGCTGGGAACGCTCCTGTTTCAGCTGACTCCACTCCTTTGGGGTGTTGTAGAGTGCTTAGGTGACTAAGCGAGAGGCAGTTGCACAAGCCTGGAGAGTCAGGGAGCTTATTTAATCACATTAGAGAAAGAGAGAGTAGGCGCCTGGGAGCAGACAGAACTAATCTGCAAGGAGAAGCGAGAGTGAGCAAGTATGTCTTACGGAAAGGATTTGGAGGTCAGTGGATTGGCAAAGTCAGTGCACCTTTGACAGAGGATTTCCATATACTTTCTCAATTCGCATATGTCCATACTTAAGAACCTATCTAAGGGCCTCAACTCTTGTCAACACACAGCAGCCAATGGTTTATGAGCTAAACAGGAGAGTTTATTCCTTGTTTGGTTTTGCTCTTCACACACCTCAATTTTAAGGAGATTAGCAAATGTATTGGTTGCAGTAGCCTGTGATTTGATTAACCAAGTACCTTGGTGGTTTCCTCTCCTCTTTAAATTTCTTTATTGTTTTTAAATGGTGCAGAGGGCAAAGCGAGCCTGGAAACAGAGATCCCAGCAGTATCATGGGGATTTTTTAAGCTCTCTAGCCTCAGTTTTACTGAGAATATAATGAACAGGTTGAGGGGCTGGGATGTTACTTTATAGAATCAACCTGTATTGTCTGTCCTTTCTGGAAACAGATGCAGGATAAAGATGTAATCTGTGTGATTCTGACTAAATGTATGCCTATACATATATGGTATAATCATCTAGGCAGTCACATATTATGACCCTTGCATCTTCCTTTTTTTTTTTAATATATTTCCAGGAGTAATATTTTTGTAGTAACTGATAAATTAATTTTATTCTTCATTCAGGCCTTTTATAATACATTATTAATGGAAGTACATAATATGGCAAGTCCAGGTGTACCCATAGACCAGGTCACTATTTGTATTGTATATCTACGGCAGGCAAAGATGGCCAGTGCAGAACATACAAAGCAGAAAAAAAGGAGGAAATGCCAAGAGTGTGCGCATATGCTTAGCAATGCTTCTGGTTATGGTTTGTGCTCATCTTTGTTTTCAGTCAGATATGGGACATAACCTATAAATTAACTCCATCTTCCAGTCTCTTTTCAGTGTAGAGCATTGAGGAAACCATTTTGTGTGTGTGTGTGTGTGTGTGTGTGTGTATAGTATGTATTCCTTCCTGACCTGCAATCTGCAGGCAGTCCAGGAATAGTGTAATTGATTTAGACTTATTTGGGGAAAAAATTTGATCATCATTTGATTTGATGAGGTGACTGATTTGTTGAATGATATCAGCATGCCATGGGATCAGCCACATGAGCAAGATATGTTTTAATATGGCTTTGGAAGTAGAGGGAGCGGTCAGACCTGTGTTGGAAACAATGTCATTAGAGCAGCTATGAAACTGAGTCACATGGAGAATTCAAAGAGCTGAAACTCAGAATCTGACTTGTGGCTCTTTACGAACCAGCAGCAGTTCCTTGTAAAAAAGAAATATGGATGGCTACAATGATAACAGGAGTGTAACACACAGTTCTTTAAAAGTTCCAATGCAGTTTTGTCCAGATGACATTATTGGAAAATCCACTCCTATTGCTTTTTTTTTCAGGGAGTCAGAAGGACCAAGGAGGTAACTGTATAAAGCAATTGTTATAAACATTAAAACTAGATGAATCTCCATGTCAGATTTTATTGCAGCCTTGCAATTTGGGCTAGGTTCTCTGAACTTTGCTAACCTTGGCAGATCTACAGGGAAAGCCTACAAAATCCTTGAGTTCAAAGCAGGCAAAATATATGACACCTTTTGAAAGTTTGGCTTTGAGTGTTGAGTTTATTTGAACTTATGTTAACCAAAGCCAATAAAAAATGGTTTGCATGAGCTCCTGCAAGGTGAAATTCCAGCAAGCAGAGGGAATGAGAATAGACAGCCTGTTTGCCAAACGCGGTTATTTTTATTTGTGTTCAAGGAAGAAAGTTGATAAGAGTTTAAGTACTTTTATATTTGAGTTAAAGTAGGAATAAGGAAGACTACAGCTTAGGGATATTATGTAAAAAGTATTATCCCCATGTGAAAATATCCCAAGCAACCTGGACTGTATCTATTGGGTCATAACCCAAAAGAGTCCTCTTTCTGGACAGTTTATATTTCATTATGCTGATACCTGGGACTACTGAGGAAGACAATAAAGCATAAGGCAGAGATCAAAATATGAATAGTTAATAGCTATATTAAAAAAAAAAAGATTAAAAAGAAATAGAAATGCCAAAATACAGTGCAGTTTGCAGTGGCAGAATCCATGTATGGACATCATGCTTAAATGAGGTGCTAAGGTTTTACTTGGTAAGAAATGAGCTTGAATAGCCAGGAGCCAGGGCTAGAGAGAGGTTCTATGGGTAAAGAATTAAAGGCTGGGGGAGAGAAGGATTTTTTTTTTAATTATTTTTATTAAAAGCTCTGGGAAAGGATGATAGATGAGGATGACTACTGAGGTGCAACAGAGATAGCAAAACAATTGTGGATATAACTAAGAAGGTTGCTGGTTGCATGTTATCCTCGAGTAGGCAATTCACATAAAGTATCCGGGTATGACGTATCAATGAACCATGTCCCATAAGAATAAATCACGAGACTGCAGTTTCACCTGGAAATGGTGGGAGAAGTTTAAGTGAGTATTTAAGGATATGACAAAGGAGATGGGGCAGGGGTCTGTGTGTGTATTTGTAGATTTGGAAACAATTACTGAAGGAGAGGGTGGGGAAGGAGAAGAATAGCCAGACTAGAGGTACTGGAGCATACCTGACTTGTGAAAGATAGACATAAAGGTAAACAGTGTGATGTTACTGTAAGCCTTTAATGAGATAAATAAGGTGAGATAATATGAGTTAAATAACCAACTTAATAGAGCCAAAGATATTCTGGGGAAGTATGATTGCTGAGGCAGTGTGGTGTATCTGCCAATGACCTCAAGAACTGGATTTGGTAGATACAGATCTTGCTTATTAGAGGTCTGTCATTATGGGAGGCTTTGACTTCCTTGATTATACAGGGGAACAAATAGCTAAATTCAGGCATTTCTCAATGCAATAACCAACAGCGTTCCTCACCAGTCACTGAAACAGCAAGAGGCAATACTTTTTTTAGGTCTGACACTAAGTTGTAGAATGAAGCAGAAAATAACTGGGCTTTGAGGGATTTCAGTTTCAATTAAAATGAAGGGGAAACAAGTGCAGGTCTATAGCTGAGCTTTTCAGCTCCAGGTGGATGGCATTTGATACATATAGGGAACTAGCTAAAGCCTGAAGAGCTCAAGAGGACTGGATTGTAAAGCAGGTCTGGCCCTTCTTTGAATCAAAGGTGCAAAAACTGTCTGAAAAGGCATATCTTGTGAAGTGAAAAACATGGAAGAAAAGTTAACAGGTATGACTGAATAAGGAGTAGAAAAATAAACAGGTCAGCAAAGAAAGCCACATGTGA